ATTTATCTTAAAATGTAGACCTTACTCAGATAAGTAGTCCAAATTCTTATTTGTTGATCTATATTTCATTAATTAGCCAATGTAAAATTTATCCATTAAAAGTAACTTTACCTCCAATTGTCAATATCAATGAAAACATAAGAGCGAATATTTAACTTGTGAATTTTGTAGCAAACTACACAAAACAAATATTTGTAAATTATTCACGATTTTAGCATTTAAAACATAAAACTCAATCATACTGTCAATCAATGCTTAAAGTATTTTCAGATCTTTTATCTGCTAACCACAGGCCTTACTTTTAATATTCAAATAATTTTCATTTATTAAAAAAAAAAAGCAAAAAATAACAAGACACGCAACCTTTGTTAATCGGGCCTCCCTTGAAACGAAGCAAAGTGATAGGCCCAGACTTTGTTTTCTGGACCTCCGTTTTTGGTACGATATTTGACAAATATAGCACTAAATAGGTTAAAAAATATAATTTAGTAGATTTAGTTAGACTTTTACTATTTCCTAGAGGCGGTAAAAGAGCTGAGTAGCTTGTTGACTCGATTCGTCAGGACTTAACTCATGGACGGCTTGAACTTGTTTCAGAACGAATCTGAACATGAGCTATCGGGGACTCGAACGACAAGCGACTCGTGGGCTCATCAAAAAAGTGACCAAACGGTCACTTTTTTTTAAAAAAAAATTGACCATTTGATCATTGAAAAAATAAAATGAAATAGAGCTCTTGGGTACATGGGCCGAGCCGATTCGGCTCAACCCATTGCCATCACTACTATTTCTGTAGTCTTTAGGAACGTGACATCTTAAGAAACTTTATGAACAACCTTGCAACACATCCCTTGTCCGAAAAAATTTAAAAGATTGACATAGATCAATGATTCAATAGTCAAGAATTTAGTTTTTGTAGTGAAATAAAATTTTTGAAACCAACGAAGAGGGATCTTGAAATTCAACTTGATTAGAAGGTTGCTCTGGTTTGCTAGAAGGATTGAATGGAAATACAGTCGAATTTCAATTAGTATCTACGTGAAATCAAATTGATTTAGTCGTGTTCGATGTGTCACAATCACAAAATCTATGATCGTTCAATGAACTAAAAGTCAAAATCCACGACAGTCTACCCGGGTTTGAAACTTGGCCGTAGAAGGTATATTTTAGGTCGGCGCGAATGGACCTAAACAATTGAATAATGCTAAACGACCCGGGTCGGTGACCGTGGGGATGACCGCACACTCACAGCCTCGGCGCGGGTCCCACCCCCGAATAAAATAATCCGACCCCCTCATGTGTGTGTACAGTCATCCCCGTGGTCAACCACACGGGCACTGTAGCATGGTTCTAAACAATTTGAATGTTTGTTGATTTTTCTAAGTCTCATTTAATTTAGCACATCAAATTCTGCATGTAATTTACTTATAATTATATTCAATGATATCAAGTGAACAAATTTGAGTATGTTAATTGATAATGTTAATTTGGAAAGTGACAGGGAAATGATGTATTGTGTTGAGTAATTAAAAGTGTGTGACCTATGAGATGATGAGAGATAGATTTGTGTTTTGATTTAATTGATAATGCTAATTTAAAAAGTGACAGGGAAAGGATGAGATGATGAGAGAGGTGGTCATAACGTCCCATTAGACTTAATTTTCAGAATAAAAATAACTTATAAACTGAATTGTTAAATAATCATACAATAACAGTATTTTCCAGTATAAGAAGTTCAGAACTATTTTTCAAAGAAGAGTTCCGTTAGTTATTTTGTTTGATGTTTAAATTTCAAACTTAATCAACTTTGTTTTTTTTTTTTTAAATACTGCGAATAAAAAAATTTAAAAATATCAACCTCAAACTCTAGCAATACAACCGACCACCACGATCGTCACCGCCTGACCTACCACCATTGCAACCACAACCAAACCCCAACTAGGGCCGATTTTGCATAGAGGCGACCTCAAGCCCAACATTGGAGGGGATCTTAGATTTTAGCCTCTTTTATTCTTTCATTTTTTAGGTCGATAAAACGTTTGGAACATTGTCGTCTTTGTGATTTGATTATAATATAAATCTTTTGTATAATACATTTTATTTGTTGTTTTATTGTTAAGTATTTAAATTAACAAGTTAACTATTGAATCCATAATATACCGATAGATTTTGCATTCATACTACAATTTTGGGGCATAATTTATGAATTTCGCCTCAAACCCCAAAAATCACATAACCGACACTGACCCCAACCATCGGAATCCTAGTATAATAAGATAAATATTTGTTACATCTAAATTTATTATAATGTTTCTTGGGGAGGCAAAGGAAATCCCATTCATATCTATTGTTTACTCCAATATACCCAATAGATTTGAATTTATATAGTAGGAGACAGACAGATTACATGAAATTAATATTCATCCTATTGCCAAACATTTGAGCTGTAAGAGTTGACAAGTTGCACAAATTTCATTATAGTAACCCGATGGTTAGAAATTTAGTTATCATAATTTATAGATTAGATATAGATTAAAAGAAGCAACCAACACATGCAGGTCATGATGCTATAGTGACCATCATGATTTGTGATTACTTTTATTTATAGGAAACGCCCCAATTCATTTTTATTTTTTTTGGCTCGATGAGACGAGTCATCGATCGAACCAGCTGATAAATAATTAATTAAATAAAATTTTCGCCTGATAAATCTTGAAGTTATTTTAAAGGGTTTCGTATTTCCGAACTTTTTATATATAATCATGTGGTATTTTTTTTATTGATTCTTGTTTTTCAAGTCAAACTAATCACGAATGTGTCATAGGGATGGCAAAAAAAAACCGACAAACTCGGGGAGCCCGCCCTGAACGGGGCTAGGATAACCCGTTTAATCGGGTATTCGGGACGGGAACAGGGTGGGGATGGGTAATAGGGGCTCCGCTCCTTTAATTTTTTTTTTTTAGAATTCAATACTTTAAATGAAAATTTTCATTAGTTCTAATAGAAAATAATAACTAAAATTATTTGTCTAAATCTTTACTTATACCTATTATTTTTATTTGATAGTTTTTGATTTTTTCTTTAAAAATTTAAACGGGTAGTAAACGGGGAAAGGACCCCACCCGTCCCCGCCCCGCCCCGCCCCACCTTAAACGGGTAACGGGACGGGATGGAGAATTTCTTAGCGGCCCGCCCCATTGCCATCCCATAGTTATAAAATTGTTAACATTCAGTTGAATAAATAAATGCATTCTTGTTTGGTGGCTTTAAAGCAAGTGGTTCTATGAATATTATATTATCATCATTTACACTTTAAATTATTTTAACCACCGATATATTAATATTTTGCATATCACTTAATAGAACACATGGGTACACGTCATGGAAACCGACCATCTCATTTTTTACCTTCCGTTGAAGCTATATTACAAGTTCATAATTTGTAAAGAGAGAAAAAATAAGAGTAAGCGGGAAAATAATTAAACTTTGTAGGATCCACAACTTTTACATACTTTTTAAGAGTTAAATATATCCATTTATTTATTTTTTGTTATCATTGAACTTTTTCAAATGTTTTTCAATTGTCATTGAATTTTAAAAATTCTCAGATTTAATACTAAACTTACGGAATGCTCACATATAAGTTATTGCATCATCGACCTTTTTAAAAGTTAACAAATTTGATGAATTAACTAAAATGTAATGTCATCCAATATTTCGTTTTACTATGCTATTTAGTCCGTTAACTTTCATGATGTGAGTGATGGAGTGATGAATGCGATAAAAACTTGGGTAAATTCAAATTTAATTTTAATCTAAATCTTAATCAATAATTAATTTAATCACATATATCACGGGTCTCACAACTTTTCAATCGCACATTTCATCAATTTTTTTATCAAAATCTAGTTAAAATCTAATTTTAATCCCCATCCAACAGTGACAAATTAATTGCCAAAAAAATATTTACAGTCATGTGAAGATTTTTCAAAAATAAAATAAAATTTATGAATATCCAGTAAATTAAATAATTATCCTCTTTAGCATTTTCTCTTTATTGTAATTCCGAATTCAGAAAATACGTTTCCTTCATAAAGAGGAATTAATTAAATATAATTAAATTTTAGAGGGTATTTGCCCGTTTGGTGGGGATTAAAATTAGATTTTTAATAGATCGTAATAGAAGTTTTTGAAATATGTGGTTGAAAAGTTGTAGGATCTATGTAAGATGTGATTAATATTTTATTTGACCGTGATTTGAATTAAAATCAGATTTTAATTCGGACCAAACATGAACTTAATCACTTCTGCTTATTGGTGTGAAATCATTAAAGCTGATAATTGGTTATGAACATTTCTTTTTGATACCTAACTCAGCTTCTTATCACGTGTCATGGGACAACACGTGTATGGCTAGGATTCCCCAAATTTCGTTTCCACACAGTTTCAGGAAGTCGAGGAAGAGATCAATGGTCACCATCGCTATATCGGATGTTTCTAAAAATGGTAGAATCTGACGGTCACCGTCTCTTCGGCGGTTGCCGCCCAACAGTGTTTAATATAAGACTGAGTCCAGGATCAGCCGACCGCCACTGTTGTCGGTAAATTAGGATGAAAATAATTTTTTAACATTAATATAAAATACAAATAATAAATATAAAATTATAAAAAGTTGATTCGTTTGAGTAATCTCTACTATTTAAAGAGCCTTAAGAGAGTGACAAGAATGTCAAGAAAGTTGTTTTCTTAGTGTTGAATCAGAAAACCCATCTGGGTTTATACATTTTCTTTTGTGTTTTTACACGCCAAAGATTCAATCTTTGGATGCAAATATTATCACAAATTGCAAAGAAAAATTCTGATCATACAGTTTTTATATAATTAATAATTTCTTTTTGCATAGTTAGATGAACATGTGGTGAGATTGATCCGTGTTTATTTGAGATTACTGCCTGAATTTTTTCTTGAAATTACTTCATATTTTATAACCAGAAACTTCAATGGAGGGTGTTTTGTTGCATGCATCAGCTGAAAAACCTGTTTCTCTCTACAAATCCTATATGAGAAACCCCAACAAAATCAATCGTCCATTAATTTCTAGACCTTGTGATCAGAACTTTTTGCCGTCAAATCTGTACGCCGCCTGCGGTCTTTTACATGCTCCGCCACCGTTTCTGTATCACTCCCTCCCTTCATTTTCACTCAAACCGCCTCCTCAGCCACCCCTTCTTCCTCTTCCCACAACTAATCCCCACCGCCCCACCACCACCCTCTCGCGTGGCCTCTCGTGCCCTCTGGTTAATCGAAGGCCAAAGAGCTATCCCAAGAAATCATCAAAATCCACCACCACAAATCCCAAGAAAGAAGAGAAAAACTCGGGAAAAATAGCCTCAGGATTTGTTACTGTATCACCAAATAGTGCTTTAGGGCCAGACCCTAAAGATCTGCCAAAAAATATTACAAAAGGTTCATCTTCTCTGTCATCATCTAATACCAATAGAATTAGTACTAACAGCGTTGGGAGTCTTAAAGGTGTTGAAACTGAACAGATTGACAAGTTTTCTGGTTCTGTGGTTTTTACAATCTCTCCACCACCAAGCAGTTTGCCTTTGCCCACTTTTTCATTGAGGCCGAAGCTCAACTGCAATGCCCAGGCTGCCGGGATCGATACCGGTGCAACTGACATAGAGGCCGCTGAAGAATCTGAGGGGTGATGTTCTTAATCAGTTGTAAAAGCTCGGCTTTGTTAGTGGCAATCTTGATATGATCTACACTTTATTTTCTTCTTCTTTTTCTTCTCTTTTTTCCTTGTGTTTTTTTGAATTCTTCATAGTGTAAATTTGTGATCACTGCCCGTGTTTTTTGATGGGGTGCACAAATTAAGTGACAACTACATAGATTAAAAAATGTCTCAAGCCTGAAGGTTGTGATTTACCTATGTATCTCTCCATTTTCTTTATAAATATATGAATAAAAGTATTACAGTTTCTTGGTTTCGCTTTTTTATCTTTCAAATTTGTGGTTTCATTCTGATAATACAAAACACAACGGAAGCATTAACTCGAGAACACGAAGAACATAATTAGATCATCAACATCAAGGGATTGATTATCATATTTATGGTTCAGAACAATACATTGTAGCCTTATGTACAAAAGAAACAGCCACAAAGACCCAAACCCTAAAGATCGAACAATTGCAGCTACTACAATAAAACTCAAGATCAAACGACCGATCTCAATTCAAAATCCTCAATCGAAGAATCACATAGACTCAAATCACTCAAATTTAACAACCAAAATCAAAAGTTTTGATCAACACAAAGTAATCGAAAAAAAAAAGGAATGGAAGAGACGACCACAGAGAAAACCCTAGAAGCTTCATGAAGAACAAAATGGAAAAAAATCACAAAATGCAACTTTTTAGGCCCCTTAAATACTTAAATCCATCACAATAGATCTCAACTGATGATCGACGACCAGCGCAGCACATGTCCATCAAATGGGTCGGGTAATTGGGCCTATTTCGAATGAGTTATCACGCAATGGTCAGAACCAATCCAGCAGTGGACTAGGCCCAATTTCATCATAGCCCAGTGAACTGAATGCAATTAATATAATTGACATCACAACCCATCACATTCCGTTAACAATTTTTATTCATTCAGTAATTACAATTAGAAGACAACAAATTTGTGTATCTATAAGCTGGTATGATGGTATCTATCTCTAATTGGGATGATGAGCAAGAAGAGTCCTACATAGAGAATATTGGATGAGAGAGAACGATATTAAGTAACCCTAACGAAAAAAGAGGGGCTCCAACTACAAATCGAATATTTTATATAGTGAGGTTTTTGAATTGTATTGTCGCCGGTTTAGTTTTGAAAGAATATTTTTGTATGCTGAGTTCACTTTATTGATTTCTTTGGATGTATTAGATCAAATTGTCTATTAATTTATGGATGCATTGAAAGAGAAACAAAGGCATTGACTTGGTTTTCTTCACTGAAAATATTGCAGAAATCCCTATTTCATGCTGAATATGTCAAAGGAAAAAGTGTTGTCGTCTTGATTGCGTCTCGAATTGATTTATCTTGAGTGATCAAAATTGTATTGGGTTAGGTTAATTTGCACAATTGGTTCCTAA